TTCCTTTTCCCTTTTTCCTTTTTCCTTTTTCTTTTTATTTTCCCAGAACACCCTATGAAGTCCTAGAGCAGATAGTAATGGAAGACCCTGTGCAAACCTTCATTCACGTGTGCCATGAAAACAGTAAATGGATGTCACAATTACCAGAGAAGCTCTGGGATATTCCCCTCTATAACTTAGCTCTTCCAGGTAAAGATTAACTTTCGTTCTCCACTGTTTTGTTAGCATGCCATTTAACCATTAGAACATCCTGTTTGTCCCATTTCAGGATGGCTACGCTTATTATTTGGGTCACTGTGTGGGAGAAGGGCTTTGGGGAGGGTTTGTGTGACGTGTGCGTGCATGTGAATAGAATCACAGAATCATGGAATTGTTTGAATTGGAAGGCACCTTGAAGATCATCTAGTTCCAACCTCCCTGCTGTGTGCAGGGACACCTCCCACCAGACCAGGTTGTTCAAAACCTCATCCCACTTGGCCTTGAACACCTCCACAGATGAGGTATCCATAGCTTCTCTGGGCAACCTGTTCCAGTGCCTCACCACCTTCATAGTAAAGAACGTTTTCCTAATGTCTGATGCAAATCTACCCTGCTTTAGTTTAAAACCATTGTCCCTTGTTCTACCTCTACACACTCTTGTCAACAGTCCCTCCCCAGCTCTCTTGTAGGCCCCCTTCAGGTATTGGAAGGCTGCTATAATGTCTCCCCAGAGCCTTTTCCAGACTGAACAACCCCAACTACTTTTAGTGTGTAATGTTTGGGGTTTTTTGAAGTGGAGGAAAAAACGGATTTTTTTTTTTGAGGGAAGGAAAGAAAGGAACTTTTTTTGCAGTCCTTGTGCATCATTTTCTCAGATTGGTGTTAATAATCTGAGCATTTGCTTATTTGGGCAATGGTGAGATTTTCCTAATTCGTTCTTGCCACTTCCTACATAATAAAATGGTTCCAAAAGGAGAGAAATAACGTATTACCTTATTGTTTGTTTCTTTGTACTATTTAAAAGAGGATGTGAAGGTATGAAAAAAGACAGATGGAGATTTTAAAGTAACATTTGTTTTTGTTAATGCAGAGTGTGTATTTTCTGTATGACCCTGCTTATGGAAACTGCACTAATCCTGTTATAGCTGTGCTATAGCTGGTGTCCTCTTTGGTACTACATTCAGACATGCGTATCATTAGCCTCTCTTTGGTCATATTATTGCTTCTGTCTGCTGCCTTGAATAGATCTGTTTTTTTTTCCCTATTCTGTCCCAAGAAGTTATGGGAGAACTTGTTTTCACTGGCACGTGGGGAGCCACTAGGGGACTATCAGCTCTTGAGTGATTCCCTTTGCCTCCACAATGAAAATAGTACTAAAGAGAAGTCTAGCCCATGTTTTCTTTCACACCTGCCAACTAGCAAAAGCTAGTTTGGGTGGAAAGCAGCACGGTGAGTAGGTGAATGTTTTATGTAGGCTACAGGACTTTAGCAAAGTCATATATTTAGACACAGTCGGTCCTCCCTGGGCTCCATCCACCAAAGACAAGACTTGATTTTTCCCAAGAACTTTGGTGGATTTTTTTTTTCTCTGCCCTTTGTGAACTAATGGAGTGTGGAGTTTTGATTAAAATTGAAAGCTAGAAGCTTATTTAATGGTGGCGTCTTGGACATGTAATTTAAAGTGATGTTAACTTCAAAACAAGTGCACCGCTATTTTGAATAAAGCCTATGGAAGAGAAGCCCAGGATGTATGTTATAAAAATATCTGGATTTCTTATTTAACCATCAAGAGAAGAAGATAAGTACCTATCCTATGCAGAAGACAGTACTATTATCTTTTTTTTTAATTCTCTTTTTTAATTCTCTTTTTTATTATTTTTTAATTTTTTTTTATTCTCTTGCAAAAATCCTTCAGAAAGTCAGTAGCATACTCAGGGGTTTCTTTTTGGTGTTGTTTCTAAAAATCTTTCACAGTGGTGTCTCTTGGACATTGCAGAAAGCTGAGAACATGCTCATGTTTAACTTCCTGGCTCTTCTCCTAATGGTGACCTTGCTATTATTGTGAGTGTTTGCTGTTCTTGTGACTATGCCTGCATGGAGAACAGATAGAAAGAAAATATTAATTGAAGACAAGCCCATTTCAGCAAACATTGGAGGACTTTTACAGAGCATTGCAGGCTATTAGCTTGGAAGATTTTGGTGGCTGTCCAGCTGACTTGTGGAACTGGTCTAGCCCAGGTCAGATCAAAAGCTGATCCAGACCAACCAGGCCAAGACAGCTCTGGCAGGTTTCCAGAGGGAGCAATGACTGAGGGAAGCCCAGTTTGGAAGTGGAAGCTTATCTCAAGATAGAGAAGGCAACAAGGCATGCAAGAAACGTGAGGGAGGTCATTCTGAAAGTATGACTAGGAGTCAGAGGCAAGTCTCAGTAATTAGTGGTGTGATTGCACCAGGTTCAGCGCAGTGCTGCTGGGTTGATGTTGCTTCGAGCTCTGAAGCTACCTGGTTTGGTGGTAGCTTGCCATCTTTGCATCATATTTGTTGTGTCGTGGTTATACCCATCTTCTTTTTATTACTGGAACTCACAAAACATCACAAGAAGACTCCTAAATGAATGGTTACTGTCTGTTTGGCATCAGTAGATGCAATGCCCATCAATGGAATTCCGTTCACTTCTCTCCGACTTGCATTTACTCCATGAGTATTTAATGCTTTGACTCTGACATCTTGTAAGACAAACTTCTTTGACTACATGCCCTCATTATCAATCTTTTATCTGCAGTGAGCTTGGTCTGGGTATTTAAAGCAGGGCGATAGACAGAAATTTGCATTCATAAGGTGAAAAAACTGAGCGAGATGTTAAACTATTACTGACTAAATTAAAGAATTTTATTTCAAATGCAATCTTGTCCTTTTTCTTTGGATACTAGTAAGACTGTTCAAGAAGGCAGTTCCTAGCACCAGTGAACAATTTGTTTGACAGAAGACTTAAAAACAGATACTCTGTAAAGATCCCAGCAAGTCACTTCACTTGTTAGCTTTTCTTATTGATGCTTTAATAAAATTAGAGGAAATAATAGAACAGAAAAAGCTAGCAAAATTAATAGTTGCCTGTCCTGAAGAAATTGTGAGTTGCAACAGAGTTTCATCTAAACATGATGCAAGAGATGTGTCAGATTTATTAAGACTTCAAAGAAGCTGAATATTTGGGCAGGCTGTACGTAGCTCTGATGCTTAGTCTGCCCCTATGCAATCCCCTCTGCTGGAACAGGTCAGGTAATTTCTGAAGTCCATGGAACGTGGGTTTTGTTTGTCTGCCACATGCAAACTGAGTTCAATTTGCCTCTGAAACCTTCCAAGTGTCCACTTCTTATTTGTAGAGGATGTGGGTGTTTATTTCAGGAGGGTGTTTTAACCAGATGTTTAGGATATAAATGCTTAGAGTGCCAAGTTAGGAGTTGGTCCACTCAAAGGTGTAAGAAGATGAATTTCTGCTTTCAGTCATATTTTCCTGTGCAGAGATGACGAGATTGGAATATGAAACCCTGCATTTGGACAACTCTGGAAACAAAACAAATTCTAGATAAATTCAGCCTTCAGCTATTTATTCCCTAACAATTGGGTTTTCGCATCAAGATAATTATTTCTGTGGAAGATGCTGGCTGAAACAGGCCGTTTTATTGGGGTTTGAGGCAAACAATGACGCACAGTTTAGATGGGGATTGTTTTATTGAAAAGTCATCGATGCCTTCCCTTCATGAGGATTTCACACTAAGCTTATTAATGTCAGGTGAGCAAACTCTGTATAGGAGCTCACCTTTTTGCCATAACTACATAGCTGTCAGGCAGTATAGGTGTGTGATTTGGAAATGAGATGGACTCTCAGGTGTGCACATGCAATATAATCAAGTATTGTGGTCTTGAATAGTTAAGAAGTGACATTTTCTTTACATTTATTTTTGTATTCTACAGGGAGTCATGACACTATGACCTACTGCTTAGATAAACGCTCTGTTAGTGGCAATGAATCCAAGCTGTTGAAGTATTTAAACAAATGGCTGCCGTGCATTGTGCGCCCCATTATCATGAAGTGGTCTACAACACAGGTAACTGTTGTTTAGCATTCTTGTCATGCCTGGGCGAAGTTGAACCTTGTCCTGCAGTACTGAAAAGTGGTCATGGTCTCCTGGGTGCAGTGAAAGAATAGCCTGCTGCCCAGAAATCTCTGCTCTCATGAAATACCGTTCCTGGGTGTTGTGGTTTAACCCCTGCCGGCAGCTCAGCCCCACGCAGCTGCTCGCTCACTCCCCTCTTGCAGGATGGAGGAGAGAATCACAAGCGTAATGGAAAACTCCTGGGTTGAGATAATGACAATTTAATAGGTAAAGCAAAAGCTGCACACACAGCGAAGCAAACCAAGGATTTCATTCACCACTTCCCACAGGCAGGCAGGGGGTCAGCCATCTCCAGGAGAACAGGGCTCCATCATGCATAACAGTGACTTGGGAAGACCAACGGCATCAGTGCAAACATCCCTGCTTCCTCCTTCTACCAACAGCTTCATATGCTGGGCGCAACTCCATCCCTGTGGTCAGTTGGGGTCAGCTGTCCCAGTTGTGTCCCCTCCCAACTCCTTGTGCACCCCAAGCCTGCTCACTGGTGGAGTGAGGAGCAGAAAAGGCCTTGAGGCTGTGCAAGCACTGCTCAGCAATAGCTAGAAAATCTTTGTGTTAAGACTGTTTAACAGCAGAAATCCAAACCATGGCCCCGTACTAGCTACTGTGAAGAAAATTATCTTCGTTCCAGTCAAAACCAGCACAATGGGGTATATGATACATACCTGATCTTCTGTTGTGGGGAAAAACTGTGTAGGTGAGGCTGATTGTTACTTAAAGCTTGGAACTAGAAATCCATCTTCTCTCTGACATGTTTATTGTTGTTATAAATAACATTTAATATCACTATAATCAAAAGAGGCTTCTCTCTTGCACTTGGTTCATAAAGTAATGCTGGTCATTTTTACTATCACTATTCACAGAATCACAGAATGTCTGGGGCTGGAAGGGACCTCTAAAGATCATCTAGTCCAGCCCCCCCTGCCAGGGCAGGATCCCCTACAGTAGGTCACACAGGAATGCGTCCAGGTGGATTTTGAATGTCTCCAGAGAAGGAGACTCCATAACCTCCCTGGGCAGCCTGTGCCAGTGCTCTGTCACCCTCACAGTGAAGAAGTTTTTTCCTTATGTTTTTGTGGAACTTCCTACATCCCAGCTTGCACCCGTTGCCCCTTGTTTCTTTGATTTCAGCTCAGTTTGTGCCTTTAATGGCGCATTGTTACAAGTTACCCCCAGTATGAGGGCATCTTGTGAAAAGGTATGGGTTTTGGCTTACCTTTGAATAGGCCACATTTCAATTTCTGAGCGACCTGTTGTTGCTGCTCTACAGGGGGACGAAAGTGCCTGATTGCTGTTCCCCAAAACAGTCTTTGTTATGGGTTATCTTTAACCTCTCCTAGTGCCTGCGTGCGTGGCCTGTGGACAGTGGGCTGTTTGAAATTCATCTGAGAACACTTTCCCGCAGAGCCAAGCTGGCTGTGTGAGATGGCTGTTGTTTTCCCTGTCTATAATGTGTAGATATTTCACCCAGCAGCAGAGACACAAATCTTGTTGAAGGGATTTTTTTTTCCATAAAGATGAAAAGAATGAAGGTGTGGACCCTCACAGAAGTTTTAGTTAATTTTTTAAAAAAAAGTCTAAATGTTAAGCTAGTAGTTATCTCTTTGTTCCTCACAAATATATATTAAAGACAATTTTGGGGGTCATGATTTAGCTGGAGCTTTTGAAGTTTTTTTCTGAAGAACAGATTTTCCTGGCATCAGAGAGGTACCAGGAATCTTTTGACTTTTGTTCCTATTGAAGTAGTTTCTTATTAGGGAATTAAAAGAGAGTAATTGATAAACGGCAATAATTCTGCCTATGCTGCTTTTGTTGTGCTTGAGCAGACCTGGCAAACTGGACTCTTAGGCACCACAAGGTATCAAATATGTAACGGCAGTGATGAGTGGATGTGGAAAGGCACTTCCTTGGCACAGTGCCTTGTCTTGGGCTGCTTTTGCTTTGGGACTTCAGCCAGTGAAAGGTTTAGATACCTCCTAACTTGTGTGTTGCTGGCCGGTGAAGTGACCCTGTTGATGACAAATAAGCATCTTTTGTCTTTATATTCATTTTCTTGTTGGAACCCAGCATGCTGAGGGGAAAGCAGCCTGGAGCTGATGAGAAAGAAGCATGGCTGCAGTCCTGCCCCCCCTTAGCTCTTCAATGTTTGGGTTGCCAGGAGGTGACTCCACCTGTTGATATCCAGACCAGACATCAAGGAGCCCTTTACTGGTGATAGGACCCACAGGTTCCTGGATGGCCCAGCTCCCAGGAGGCGGTGCCTGCCTGCCTGTTACACGTGTCAATCTAGAGGCCCCTATCTTTTGGGCGCAGTGGCTGAGGTCAGGTGTGTAACTTCCACTCATGGCCTGGATGTCCGGTGTGGGACTGCAGCACTGAGCAGCAGTGCTCCCCAAGGCTTCCTCTTCAATCTTACCCTTGGGGGGCAAGCTTCACACTGTCTGATTCCATATCCAAACCTGGATGACTAGAGAGTCTACTTTGTCTAGTTTTCCCCTGCAGTCAAGAGAAAAAAATTAGTTAGTCTAAAGGGGAGTTCAGAGCAGCTATTTCATCTGGTGCTCTTTCTGGCCATGGATGTTATACATGACCTACAGCCACACACATTCCCATCTCCAGCGTGCTCCAAGGAAAGGTGGGGCTTGGGCATGGCTCAATCCCTCAGCTGCTCCAGCCTGGTGGAGACCAAGCAGGCACAGAGGGAGCTGTTGACTGGAGCCACCGCACCACCCACAGCCCAGCATATACAGAGCTGGGCTCGTGCCCAGCCCTGCAGCTCAGGCACAGCCTGGGGAGATTAAATTTCCATCCTAAGGGCATAAAGTTGGATGGTTTGAGATAACCTGCCCTGTGTCTTAAGCTCTGTCTCAGCCTTTCTTTCTTAAATCAGTAGAGCGTATGCTTTCAGAAACTGAAAAGTGTTGTCCATAGCAGGTTGAACTGAGACAAATTAGTGGTTAAAATTATTTAATTAATTTGATTCTATTTTCTTATGCAAAGAGAGCCTTGAGATAGATATTTTTTGCGACTTTTTGCCTCAGAAGCTCAGCTTTATCACCTGTTCCATTCAGCCCTCAAGTCTAGTACAAGAGGTCTGAGGGAAGTGGAAATAGAGGAGAACCTCTGTTTTGTAGGACAGGTTAATTCTAACTTTTTAAGAGACTTTATCTTGAAAAAGAACAATAGCTGGTACTTTTTTCTATTTTTGTTTTTCCTTCTGTTGAGGATGGGTGAGCTCCACAGAGACAACCATGGTAAAGTCTTTGATCTAATAAAATAAATACAGCATTTCCAAGGTGCTGATCCTGCGGGTTTTGTTCACATTAATAGTCTTGTGAAGAGTGATCATGTATTTATGTACAGGCTAATGGATCTTTAACTTTCAGAACACAACAAGGGCAGAAGTCTGGAACCAATCTAATCTGTACCTGCAGCACATGCTGCAGGGAAACTGGCATCGCTGTTGTCAGAGTGAAATACTTCAAACTCGCAACTCGGTGCCACATCGTGCCATTTTAAAGATGAAAGACTTGTGAAAAATGTTGTAGGGTTAACTCTGTACACCTTTTTCAGCTTTCTAAACTAAAGAAACAAGTATCTTACAAGCTCTCAGGACCTTTCTCCTCTGTTTCACCTTTCAGGTACTGACTGTGACAGAGCAACTTGAGGCTGGAGTTAGATATCTGGATTTCCGGATTGCCCACAAGGCTAATGATCCATCTGTGAATTTGTACTTTGTGCATATGGTTTACACAACTGTTACTGTACAGGTATTGTCCTTCCCTTTGGGATGCCTATTAAACGTGTGCTGGTTGTTTCATTTAAGGGCCATCATAATCTGAAAATGCTGGCCTGGGTTTTTGGAGTAGGTTTTTTGCTTTCCTAATACGGAGACTTCAAACTGGACCAAATCAGCAGGGCTGGAAGTTAGTTTCAGTAACTACAAGTGAGACTGGAGCATTGATCAAATCCTCACCCTCAAACTGCAATTGTTCTCCACTGCCCAGCCCCAACCAAGTTCCTGATGTTTCTGGGGTTTGTCTTGTGTTGTCCTAGGGTGCTACTCAGGGCAATCTCGTTTTCCCTAGTAAGGAGAGAAGTTATTAAAGAGAAGAACGTGTTAAAAGCCTAATAAAATCACAGAAACACTTTTTTTTTTTTGAGGAAAAAATGTTTCACTGAAAGTGAGACTCAAGTCTGGATCCCATGATCAAATTACTGTCAGCTGCTGTGAAGAAACTACTGTGAGTTGCTCTTTGCATGTGCTGTGTCACTGTGTGGAGTAGTTTACATCTTCATTCCATTTGCTGGGATCTGTGCAGTCAGGCACAACCAATTAATGCAGCTTTTTATTTGTAAACTAGCTGACTAAATTTTGGTTTTGTGCTCATGAGTCTGAACCCTTCATGTGTTGAGTTCTCATGGTGACTGGCACGCGCATGTGAACAGTTAGATGTAGTGCCTGACTACCCTGCTAATTATATGTGGTCTTCAAGAAATTGTCTTTGCCCATAATAGATGGGGAAAATAGGTCCTGTTGTGTTTAAGCGAGTACAGAGCTTTTTGCTGGTTTTGAATTTGCTGTGAATATGTTGTTTAAAGAAGCCTGGGAAGATGGCTTTACTGCAAATATGCCTCTAGGCAGTAGGAGAATGATGGATGTTGTCAAAATATGGAGCTGTTAAGTGTAGTATGCTGGAACCACATTCAGAACAAACCAGCACAAACCTGAAGAAAGCAGGTTTTCCTCGAGTGCATCTCTCTGGACTACTTTCTGGACAGTCATATGGCCATCCACCTGAAACCTACACAGATTTTCATCCTTGTGATAGCCAGTCTGCCCCACCATCAGTGGTCGGTGGGTTTTATGTCCTTTTCCCTGCATAGCACAGATTATTTTCTAAGTTGCCATGACTCTCTCTTGCAGGATACTCTGTGGCAAATTTTAAGGTGGTTGGAAACTCATCCTCTGGAAATTGTTATCTTAGCCTGCAGGAATTTTGATGGATTAACCAAGAAACTTCATCGTCTTCTTGTTGCCTATATAAAAGAGGTTTTCCGGTCTAAACTGTGTCCCAGAAATGTAAGTATGAGATCCTTTTTTCTCCTTGTTTAAGAATGATATATTACGGTGAGATCTTTGATTCCGAATTTTAGATGTGTTCTACTTTCGCTGTCTTTTTAACCTAGGAAAAGTAACATTTGCTGTATCAGAGATAGGCCTTTACCTACATCCTGTAGTTTGGAAGAGGGAATCAGATTTGACTGTCACGTCTGTCGTGAGTTGTGGGACAACAGTAGGGACACAGTTATCATATGCTGTCCTGTCTGAGTTTTGTTTAAAAAAAAAAAAAAAAGGAGAGAGAAGATGTGTGTTACAAATATAGTCCATATTATATTTATAGAATTTAAAGAAGCTATTTTCTACCTTTTCACAGCAATAATTATAAATGAATTTTTATGCTACTTACAATAGTTTAGGTTGGAAGTTACTTCTGGAGGTCACCTCGTCCAACCCCACCATGCAAAGCAAAACCAACTTCAAAGTTATGCTGGGCTGTGTCCTGTGCATTCTTGAATATCTCCAAGGATGGAGGTTCCAGAGCCTTTCTATGCAGCCTGGTCCAACATTTGACCACTCTCACAGTAAACATCTTTTCCTTATCTATCTGATAAGACTCTCTCTTGCTGTAACTTTTGTCTGCTGACTTTCATTCTTTTGCTATGCTTATCTGAGGAGTCTTCTCTACACCTGCCTGTTAGGTATTTGCAGACAGCAGTAACATCTATTCATAGTCTTCATGCTGAGCAGACCCAGCTCTTTCAGCGTGTCCTTACTTGTCATGCCCCATGCTCATGTCCTCTGCTCACTCTGGTTGCTTGCTGCTGGACTCAATCCAGCACACTTTTTGTACTGGGGAAGCTCCAGCTGGAGAGGGTGCTTGAGATGCAGTCCCACAGCTGCTGAATAGAAGGGAAGAACCCCTTCCCTTGAGTTGCTGTCTGTGCCTTTACTAATATGGCCCAGTTTGCAGTTGACCTTTGCCACCTGGGCATACTGCTGGCTCATATTCTGCTTGGTTTCCACTAGGACCTCCAGGTACTTTTCTGCAAAGCAGGTTTCTAGCCAGCAGCCCCCAGTCTGTCCTGGGTTAGTGCATTCAAGCATGGGACTTTGCATTTGTCTTTGGTGAGCTTCAGGAGGCTTCTGCCAGCCCATGTCTTCAGCGTCTTGAGGTGCCTCTTAATAGCATTTCTGCCCTCAGTGCATTTCTGGTGGCATTGTCTTTCTTTTCTGGACATGAGCTAGAACTGACCTTCCAACCAGCCTAATATGTTTTCAGGTACCTGAGCCTCCAGAAAAGCCTTAATTTAAATATTCAGAAATTATTTGATTGCTTAATTTTAGAAGTTGAAATTTTTAGCTTCCTCTTTTTTTTCAAGGTGTGAGAGCTTTTAGTAGTTAAACAATTAACATTTCAAAGATGCACAGGAACAGAGGGTTTTCTCTGGAGATATGAAGGGTACAGGATAATGATGACCCTGTTTGTGATTTGAATTCAGCCTTTGAAGCTGGTGTATTAGAAACGGGTGAATATTACCATTTCAAAGCATTTTGTACAGCAGAGTTAAAACAGAACAATTCTCAGCAAAACTAGAGGGGATTCTGAATATTCAAGTCTCATCTGAATAACTCAAGACCTGAGTGACACCGTTTTATTGTTTCCCCAAATACTGGGAGCATGTATGTCATGGATGAGCAGAGCAAGACTGGAGAAGTTGGCTGAATTTGCTTTCAGATACATGGCCAGCTCTTAAAAAGTAAAAAGTTATTAATTGCAAAAAGGGCAAGCTGCTGCTGTTAGTTTGTTGAACGAAGGTGATGAACAAATGGTTTGAGATCACTTGACTGCAAAAAGAAGAATGTTTCCAAACTGCATCCAGGGGGAGCACACTGGAGAAGAGAGAAGCCAAGTACTTCCCTCAAGCAGGAAGACTTCATTTCTGTGGTGTCTGTGACCAGCACAATGGATCTCACTGTTTCTGCAAGTGATACCAACGCAGGTTGGGTATCTGTGGGGTTTTTCATGATCACAGATTCAGATTTAACATCAAATAACTAGATGCTTGCTCACTTACTCTAAAATAATCAGGTATCTACTGTCTTTCAAGGCTGCAACTCTGACGTGGTATGAAGTATCAAAGTTTTTATGAAGCAACTGCTAAGTAGAGGTCTCTGTGTAGTACTGGCACAGGCCACAGCGTGACAACATTACATTGTGTTTAAATTTTTAATTGTCTTAACTATTCAAGCTGTCTTCCTTTGATCTGGATTACTAGGATTTAAAAATCCCTTGTTAGATATCTACAGCTTCATTTCTGCTTTGTTTGCAAAATAAACACCTGTGCTCATGTACACATTTTGGGTAGGATTTTTTTGGCTCTCATCCCACTTCTTTTTTTTTTTTAGAGGTTCTAGCTTTAGAAAGGCAGATGGAGTAAAGCAAAGGCTTCTGTCAACCACAGATTTTTGTAGTTTGAGTAGCTTGTGTCTTAATGTTGCAGTATTTTCTGACCTAATTGGGACTTGCACTCTCTGTTTCTTGCATGAAGGAAGAGGGATTCCCATGTTCGTTCAACCCTCAGTTCTCTTCGAAGATTTACATAAAACATTTTCAACTGCCTTTGGCTTATATTTTAATTAATAAATTAATTGGAACATCAGAAAGCCACCATTGCTTTTCACAAGCAATGGACACAGCTTTTAACCACAACATTCTTAAAAAACCAGTACCCATTAAATACAGTGGTTTTGCAAATAAAACTAGTCAGAGGTCCTCAATTCTGTCCTATAGTAACTTCTGAGGATTGAAAAATGTCATTTCATATTGTAATACTTAAATTTTACAGACCTGATTCAGCCCATCTGTCTGAGGTTTCTGACTTGAGTCTTCCTCTCTCCCTCAATATAAAATGTCTGGAGCATCCAGAAACTTTCAGAAACTTTCCACTGAGAGAAATCAGAATTAAGATATCTCTTGAAGATTTACGTTTAGTCTTACCAAGTCTTAAGCAGTTCAGTTTTCTTTGATGGGTACACTGACAAATTTACATCAATTTGGGGCATTCACCAAAATTATTCCTGCTTATCTGCATCTGTATTCCTACCGTTAGGTGTAGGGCTTTGCTCCCCGTCCTTTCACAAATGGTCTGTGTCTTACTCTCCCACCAAATTTCCAGCAGCAGTACATGCACAAGCACTGGCATGGGGGATGATTTCTTATTACGCAGGTGTAAGACCTTGAGTTACGTACTTCAGCGTAGTTGAATTGTTTGTGAAAAAGTGGAATCTGCCGAGGTTCCCAGGCTCCTGTTGCTCTGCAGCTTTTAACCCAGCCGACTTACTGGGCTGTATGCTTAAAAACTTTATTTGAACTGAATCTGTGCCTCTCTATCAAGGCAATGTCGCACGTCAGTATTTCAACACTGCAGGAACACTGCTGCGTTGTTGATTTCAACCTGCACACGCTCTCTCTTAGGTGGTGCCAACACTGCGGACCATGTGGCGGCGTGGCTACCAGGTCATAGTCTCATACGAGGAGAACGTGGAAGTGAAGAAGCACCATGAGCTGTGGCCCGCAATCCCATACTGGTGGGGAAACAAAATTGCCACTCGCGACCTCATCAAGTATTTAGAGCACAAGAAGAAGATGGGCCGTCCAGGTAGGCAGAGGGAGTTGCTCAGAGGAAGCGAGGAAAACAGACATGGAGTTGGGCGATGGTAGCGTTATGGGACATTGCCACTTGGTGCATGCTGCGTGCACGGGACTTGCCCACATTGCTGCGTGCTCTGCCCACCTGTGGGCGAGTGCAACGCTCGTCTTTGGCAGCGCAAATACGTGCAACAGTGTGTGTACATGCATAGGCTATGTAAATTGTGGCAGTGGCTTGACTTGACAGAACAGAAGCCCTTGGCACAGAACAGCTCACTGGCGCTGTTGTACCCATCTCACGGGACAGGAGAGGAGTTCCTCACAGCAGCACGGGCCACTTTAAGCGGCGTGGGTGAAGAGTGAAATGCATCATGTTGTGAAGAGAAGCTGCCAACAAGAGTGGTGCGGGAGGGCTTTAGCTGTGTCGGGAAAGCAGTGCCTGAGCATGCTGGTGTAGCCTAAGCTGAAAGGAATTCAGTTTGTAACCTCTGATGCAGCTCTGTAATGTGGGTGTCTGAGGGGAGAGGTGCCCCAGCCAAAGGAAAACGCACCCTGCGTTCCTGTCCATCACGGGGGAAGGCAAGCCTTACAAAAAGCATTTTACAAAGGAGGGCTACTTAGTGGAGAATCTTTAGTCTACAGTGCATAATTTAGCTAAACTTAGCTAAACTGGAATGGTTCGAGTAATGGTTCAATTTGGCTCAGTAACTGTTTACTACAACATGCAATTGCAACAAGGGGAGACAGTCTACTGAAACAGTTGTAGGGCTATGAAACAACACAGAAAGAGAGTGAAGTGAGTATTTTAATGATTCCCAGAGGAGCAAGATCTGGAGTTAATGCAATGCCGAGCAGTTTTTGCTCTCCTCAGAGAAATACCTCATGTCACCTTCTGATTTTTGTTTCAGGAAAATTCTTCGTAGCAGGGATTAACCTTACTGAAAATTTAGGATATATTCTTGGACACCCGTTTGGATCATTGAAGAAAGTAACGCTCCAGAGTCTTCCATGCTTGAAAATCTGGATAAAGCAGCAGCAGCCAGGCTCTCAAAAAGAATGTATTAACATCATTGCTGGAGACTTCATAGGAAATGATGATTTTGTCAAAGATGTGATAGAACTTAATGCAAAAATTAATCCTCCATTACACTGTCAAAGCAAAGGGGCTGGAACAAGTAGCATTTCATTCTCAGCTTCTTAATCTGTGAAAAGCTGAAAAGGCTTTATCTGCATTCAATATGTCCTGGTTTAAACATCCCGGATCCCATAAAGGCCCAGTTAGCCTAAAACAGGGATGTTTTAAAGACTCAGTGAGAAAAGTGCTCTCAACAGCATCAGGGTTTTGAGGCCTTTTTAAAGAAAAGAGAGCAGGTAGACCTTGCCAAAGTTGCTGGAGAGCTATAGTATAGGTATAATTTATTTGGAGGTGCTTAAAGTCACTAGCTGTCAGCAATATTGAAAGTCCCAAGAACTTAATCTTATTTACAAACCAGCAAGGAGAAATATGTCAGTAGCCACGCAAATTACTTTGTGATAAGATTTTATCTTTCTTATAATGGTAAAGATATTCTGAACTATTTGTGACCCAAATTCTCAGGCTTTTATGTTGGTGTGAAACTGACATGTCTTGTTTTCATAGTTTGTGTTAAATATACAAAATGAACAGTTTAAAAATATTTTCGATGTATCAAAGATACTGTACTGACAATTCTATTTGACATGATTTTTACGTATACACCAATACATAATTAACATTGGAGAGCTAAAGCAGCTGCACCATAATTGTATGCTGCATGTCAGTTGTGAGCCCCTTTACCAATAGGTGAGGCACAAAGTTCTTTATGATTTGTAAGATATATGTGTATTTGAATGCTTATTCTATCACTTGTGCAAATTCTGCAGTGATAAAGATACCAAAGGTAGCCCCCTAGACAGTTTTGTCTGTGGTGCTGTCAAAATATGCCTTTACGTGGAAAACAAACACACGTGAAATAAATTCCTTATCTAAACTCAGACTTCTCTAGACATAGATTCTTGGGTTCTGTCATCCTTGCTTGGGGTTTCACACCTAGTCTTTTACTTAGCTAGTCTGGTAGCTCTCCTCTCAATAAATAGTTTTTGCTTATGTAAAACAAAAGGGGTTTATGCTGTTTGCCATTGCAAATTAGTCCTATTTTTCTACTTTTTTAAATGAACTGTGCAATAACAAATGATCATGAAGGTAAAAGAAATGACAAGCATTGAGACTAAAACAAAAGCAGGCATTGTATAAAAGTCACTGTGCAGCTTCATCAATATACCTCACTTTTTGGGTGCACTTTATATATAAAAGCTGAGTTCAAGTGTCTGGCAAGATGTTACTGTTTGCAGAAGTTTTAAATCAACTGCCACTTGACTTCAGATCAACCTCACCCCAGACTTTTGAGCTCCAAAGTCTAAGGCGCTACCTCCTCATGCAATCTCTTGCGGTTGCACAATATAAAGGAGTAAAAACCCTACACATTCCATTTATAAAGAATGCTTCCTAAATACTTTTTTAAAGTGCTTTTTAACCATGTTCTTACCTCTGTGTACTTAATACTGAGCATTCAGTTTTGATTGTCTTCAGAGTCATTACCTCCACAGTCTTACGCTACACATAGAATGCTTTTCTGCCTGTCTTGTTACTGTTGAATAAAACTTGATCTCTCCATGTAATATGGACTGAAACAGTTTTGCTTCTCCTTTCTGTGATACTGCTTGTTTTATTGCTTCCCAGTAGTAATTAATAAATCAAGTAATGGGTCGATGTTTTTTTTTTTCTCATTGTGAAATAATTTCCCACCAAATTCATGGTTCGCTGTACCTTAAATGTCTTCTCTACGAACTGACACAGTAATAGGTATTGTGGATAAATTACTGTAGGCAAGAAAGGTGTATAGGTAAAAGATGTTCACAGCTAACTTTATTTATTGCTTAAATATACAGATCTATGGGGTTTTTTTTTTGCTTCACTACCATAAGACATAGCAGTTATTTAGGTACATGCATTCTGCTTGAATTTATTTGTATTATTTATATATAGCCAACAACATTCTGTTCACTAACTTCCATTTTCCAAGGACCATCTGAGACAACTATAATAAATACTACTTTATTCTGAGAAAATGGCTAAAAAACTTTATTTATAGGATATAAAAAACCATGGTATGTTTCTGAAGGTTAATTCAAATGCCAGCCGGTGATTTGCATGTGTTACAAGGTCCATAGCTTATAGCCAACAACTATTTTAACGTTAAAAATTTAATGCTGTCCTTGCACTTGCTGACAGAAGCTCCACGCTCTTATTGTTTCGAAGTAGAAATTTTCTGAAACAATGCTCATTTCTAAAATGCATCAAAACCATCAACTGGAGAAAAAAATATACTTTTCAACACCCAGGTTAACAGGTCATTAAGGCCATTTCACATCCTCTTAGTGAGATCAGTTTCTTTTCCTAGAGGAAGATGCAGTTTCATGGCAGAAAAATCTTACTGTTGGGAAAGAGGTTTTTGTATCTTCCAAAAGCAGAATTGCTGATTATCACCTTCACCCTGGCTGTGCCATCTTCAGGCATGACTTCTACTTCCTGAACTGTTGCTTCTTTATAGAGCCAACTGTAAAAGCAAAAGCACATTAGCATCTTAGAGGTACGAGTCACTGCCTAAAATGTGATCTTTGCTTTCAGTCAAGGTGTTCCCATCTAGATAATTTAACACTTTAGGAGATGAAGTGCTTCACTTAACTTTTCATTTGCTACTTGGTGTTTGGAAATAAGGTGCAGTGTTTTCAGAAATCTTTCAGAAATCTGCCTCCGGGACCAGTGGCACGGTCTTTCAGGAAGTATATTTTATTGTACCAACACACAGAACTGCGTGAAGGACACTTTCAGAAGCAGACTCCAGGGTATGTAATGGGCATAATTTTTCTCAGTAGGTCAGAAAAAAAGTAATGATTATCCCTGTAATTGTTAATACAGATTAAATTCAGCATGATTTGGAAAACTTAAGACAGGCAAGACGAATAGTTTCCTATTTCCCTAAGCCCTCCTTACAATTCAAAAGTATTTACCTTAGCTGAGGTCCCTCTAAGTTGATGTTAAGTGCCAGAATCTTCTTCCCTGTTGCTGCCAAAATTTTTTTCTCTATTTTTTCTTTCAGCTCTTCTAAACCATGTCCATGTAGAGCAGAAATGGCTAAAGCACCTTCCTCAGTGGGTTTATACCTGAAAGGTAACAATTGCTAGCACATTTGCTCATGAAGATTAGATTGTGAAAATATCGCAAGCATGGACAACTTAAATGTGTTACTTTATACTGGCACCTTCCTACGGAGGCCACCTCCTGTATGAGTCAAGTGATTTCTTTTGTAATTAAAAGATCATTCTTTTCAAGGCCATAATTACATAAGTAAAAGATTGAGAAACACTATTAAATGTATTCAGAACTGTGGGAGCTCTTTACTACACTAAGAATTAAAAAGCTTCCAGAATATAAGAAATGTTTACACTTAGTGTCTTCTGCTTACCTTTCTATCAAATCCACTTTGTTATGAACTTCTACCACTGAGTCCAATAAATGGCTGGGAAGATTAAGATTCTTCAGAACTGACAGAACAGTTGCTTTTTGGAGGATGGTTTCTGGATGAGTAATATCCCTCACGTGAACTATCAGATCCTAGCAAGCATCAATATATAACACAATTACTTAATGAAGCACACCGGTTACCAAGCTGTAATGATTTTATGCTATTTTCCATTTCTATTTCATGTAAGATACTCTACTATCCATTATACAACACACTGTCAGGTTAACGCTCTAAAATGAACTACTAAAACAATATTAAAACAATACTTTTCGTTTCTTTTCACCATGATAGAAGAAAATCTGTAGCAGCTCAGTCTTTAACTTCACAGGGAGTATGAATTGCCTCCAACAACCTTGAAACAAACCCTGTCAATCACGCTAGTTACAGAATTCAAATTCAAAATAATAAGTCATCGAGTTTTTCAAAGCCAAGGCTGTGTAACAACAAGGCTTTGAAAATACTGGAGAAGAAACACTGAACTCTAAAAAGTTTTTGTAAGAGAAATGGCTGAAAAACTATTTCAAAAAGGAGGAGGGAACCGTATATAACTTATAATTCTATAATGCTGAATGTTATCCTTATCTTTAGCTCCTGAGATACTATTATAGGTGTTTCACTTAGTAAGCTCTATATAAAACTTAGTTTCAAGTACATACATGATGTTTGCCATCATAAAAACCAAGCAACAAAATTAAATATTTGTATTCAAAATGTTTCGTCACCTTTACTCAAGATAGTGCCTCAAATTTCTGAAAACTCGGGTGAAGCAAATTTGTCTTCATTGTTCCCTTCATTTAACATTTAATATTTCAGAATAAGAGACAAACAGGATAGTCGCAGCCAGCTTCTCAAAGTCCTATTATTACATGGTGACGTCTAATCCTCGGAAATGTTTTGGCATCTAGCTACCACTAAATGTCACTACCTTTGACAATACAGGCTTTTTGTTTCAATGTCTGTGTGTATGCAGCATTATGTTTTGCTATAATACAGGAAACTTTAACTAGAAAATGATTGGAAAAGTACATTTATGTTTATTACATGCTGCCTGCATCGCATCCCGATCACCCACTTTTAGTGCTGTAGGAAACCTTAAGTTAAAAACTGCTCATTCCAGAGGCTTCATTTAATTTTTAATTCTCAAAAAAGCTAGCCTCAACTTATTTGGATGCACTATTTAGGTTTTCAGATATTGAATCAGCAAGATCTGATTTATCTGGTTTACATTTCATGGAGAAGGACACATACATTCCACATAAACCTTTTCTGAAATCTCCTTGTATCGCTGTGTTCTGTGCAATTTCAAGTACCAGAAAATTGGCTTATGGAAAGATATTTACCTCGTTATCTTAGGAGACTACTATAGTTCAGCCATATACTTCACTAAGAACAGCATGCCAGTTAACTTCCTCTTGTTTGAAAGGATAAGGATCACCTAAAAGGAAATTAATTTGATTTCTCAATTTTTATGGCCAACTACTTACCGAGTAAGCCACTTCTTCTAACGTCGCTGAAAAGGACTCAACCAGACTATGTGGAAGATCAGTCAAGAACCCAATGGTGTCAACATAAATAACTGCCATATGTGAGGGCAGATAGCCAGCATGGGCTGTAATATCAAGAGTGGCAAAGAGCTGATCTCTGGGTTGAAGTCCTGCTTCCCCTGTCAAGGCTTTGATCAAGGTCGTTTTTCCTAATTAAAGGAAAAAAGGATAAGATTCTAATGGCTTGTTTCAGGTAAAAATTTAATTTGCAAGGCCCAGGTGAGTTGTATGATGTAGCATATCTTTTCATATCTGTTTCACTAATTTAAATCTAGCCTAAATTAGCTATCTACATGATGCTGGGAAATCCAAAGACTTTTGTAACCTGGAATTGCATTTAAGGCCACACCTGGAAGCTATGTGGCAAAATCACATAATCCTCAAAGACTGAACCGACCTGCAAATGGCCGACACACATTGCTCACCTCTAAGACTATCTGAAGACAACTACTATCTCAGCATTTGGAAGCATACACATATGCGTTCCTCAGTGCTTCTGTAGTCAAATAAAACAATTCTGTATTTACTTGTTAAATCCAACAATAAACAGAAGCACTAATAATATGCAGCTTATTAGGTTTATGCTTTTATGGGGCATTTCCTCCTCAACCTAATACCAGAGACATGTATTTAACTCAATGAATATTTTGCAGAATTTAGTCATTAAAGAGCTCAGTATATACCCTAGTTAAAGTATTTCAATTATGTGTACAAAATTGTAATACATATATAATGTTGAATCTTCAGTTTTAAATGTATGGAAGTATAACATTTAAGAAAAACATACAGAGTATATAACTGATAACAAAATTAGGGCAAGGTAAGTTTGTTTTTATAAAAATCTTGAATAAGCAAATGAAATGGTCTTAAGAGAATGTAACCTGAAAAGTATCTAGTCCAAAGTCTATTTCTGTGTGTTCTAATTGACAGTCGACTGAATATGAGCCAGCAGTGTGCCCAGGTGGCCAAGAAAGCCAACGGCATCCTGGCTTGTATTAGAAATTTTGTGACCACCAGAAGCAGGGAGGTGATTGTCCCTCTGTACTCAGCACTGGTGAGGCTGCACCTTGAGTATTGTGTTCAGTTTTGGGCACCTCAATATAGGAGAGATATCGAGGTGTTGGAGCGAGTGCAGAGGAGGGCAACAAAGCTGGTGAAGGGCCTGGAGAACAGACCTTATGAGGAGCGACTGAGGGAGCTGGGTCTGTTCAGTTTGACGAAGAGGAGGCTGAGGGGGGATCTCATCATGCTCTACAATTACTTGAAA